TGATCACACAGCTAGCAAATGGCAGAAATGGAACTAAAACCTTCAGCACCTGAGTTCTGGTATAGCATTCTTCCCATACTTTTTTTATTATGTAAAATCAATATTCTGCTCATTATTACTCATTTTATTATGGCATAACAAAGCTTATATGGCAGGCCTACTAGTTAAAGAAATCTAAAAAATATATAGCCTTTACTAATGAGTATGTGATCTGCTATTGGTGAGTGCCTGCAATTGTTAAAGATAAACCACACACACGTATAGACCTCATGAAATACACTTACCCAAAATTGAATCTAGAAGCTAGAGATGTTCTGTAACACAATTGGTGAAGGTAAATAGTAACACTGCAATACATCATAGTGATTACGTTTTTAACACTGTAGCCTTTCAAATCAAGGAAAGATTATATATAGTAAATTAATTTCAACTACAAACAACAGAAATTTAAAGAAATAAAATCATATGCCTACAGTCATCTTTAGGGGGTTACAGGGTTTGGGTCACACTTGGTGGTGCTCAGGGCTTACTCCTAGATCTGAGCTAAGGGGTCACTATTGACAGTGTTTGGGGTTAAGAAATAGGTATCTGGTGGGATAGAACTAGTGTCAGTGGTATGCAAGGCAACACCCTTAACTACTTAATGTACTACCTCTCCAGCCCCAAATGCCTGTAGTTCTAAAATGAGAGAGTTTTAAAAGAAAACTTTGGGTAAAATTACCAGAGAATCAAGTTAGAGATCTGAAAACCTTTTCAAGTTGACGTGTAAGTTAATATGCTAAAGGATTTCCTCATCAGAACATGTTTTCACATTCATATTTCAATCATTTTAATTGTACAATACCTTAAAACTCACAAGTAATGGTTATAACTGCTTCTAAATTATATACAAGGCAAGAGATTGTGATCATTATACCCTCCAGCACGTACTTTTGGGTATAAAATGGATGAGACAAAGGAGTCACAAGCTATCAGAATGTGACATGTATGCATTCGCAAATCAAGCGAAAGTATTAGGTGACTAACAGAGCAAGGCCACGCAGGAACATGAAAAACAATGGATAGTCCTTGTCCTCAAGAAACTCAGTCTCATTGATGAGAAAAAAAGTTTAAAACCACAATTATATTGTATAACATATATCTTGAAGATAAAATTGTAGGAAATAGATAACTTTAGGATATTAATCAGAAAAAAATCACTCTTTTCTGTAAATATCAGCTTCACTATTAGGTATTGTGAATAAGGTTTCTCAACTTACATGTCTCACTTTTTTGGAGTGTTCTCAGCTTTGATTCTATAACACTTCAAAGATTCCAGAGGAGTGTTGAACCATGTGACAAAAGTCTTTTAGGTGGATCTAAAGGCAATCTTTAAAATCATTTTAGGTAAGCAAACATTTTGTTTAGTTTTTGTATTTTAATTCTGAAAGCACCAATTTTATTTTCTGAGGAACACCTCTTTTCAGATGCAAATGTAACTTTTTCTTAAACACGCTTTTCAAATGTTAACATTATTGCTTTCTGAATGCTAATTAACAAAAATAAAGAATGGTTTACACTTTGCTCTTGATTTTGAATGAATGTGAAATATCCATGTAGTCCTCCCTGGAAAAAAACTTATTTAATGTATCTATTATTTGATTGTAAAGTAAAATACACTGAGTAAATGAAATCAAATTAGCAGTTTAAATAATTATGCATACTGAATGCCTCCTTTGCACCCACAACTTAAGAAATAAAATACCAGATATTATTAATATAGTGTCCTAGGAGGAATGGGGAGGCGTAGTAATAGACAGAATCTAAATATCTTGCTACTTCAGTAATCAAAAATGAAACTTTTTCCTCTTCCTCTTTTGATTCCTTATTTGAAAGCTTTCAAATTTGGAAAGCTTTTTAAATTAGTCACAAAAATTTACTGTTCTATTCCTGAACTACAATATTTTACATTTTAGTTCACAATGCTTCTTGGTAATGTATTCACGGGGTGGAGGGAAGATACATTTAGAGGAAAATAAAATATCTTAAATATACTACCATTTAAAATTATTATATATTAATGCTATATTGTTGCTCTTTTTAATAAACTTTATCTAGAAAAAGTCTAATAGGAGGAATGATCAACAAGTCTAATACTGAAGTGACTGATGTTTCATCTTTTGCAAAAAAATATTACACCATCTTCTGGATTTGTAAACCTACCTATTACTTGCATTTAGGTAAAGTTTTTCATTCAAAAGTAGTTACTGAGTTCAATGTAGCACTAGGAACCAGGAACAAGTGAACAGAAGAAAAATAAAATCCCTCCCGTGGCAGGGGTCTTGGGGATTTATACAAAACTCTATAGTTTGCAAGCCCCCAAACAGAGGCATTGAAAAGAACTTACAGTGTTTAAACAATTTTTTGATACCAAAAACTAATGAAAAAAAGATACTCATAAAACTAAAAATGATTATGCCTCCAAAGTGTTTTTAAGGTGGTTTTCATCTTAGAGCACATTTTACCAACAAAAAATTAAAATTGATACACAATGTATTTATTCTCCAAAAAACCTCATTTTATTAGTAATATTTGTAAATGTGTTATAAAAAGGTAATAGAAAACAAAGACATTATAATGGGTTTGGTATAATATAAAACTTAGAATAAAAATGATTAGCTTTATAAAATAAAACTGGATATATTTTGAATTCTAGTGTTTAAGCATGAGTATATTTAATTAAAGCAGGTAGATGCTAACTTCTATGAAGATTCTTTTTTGAGGTACTGGGAATTAAACCCAGGGTTTATACACACAAAGCAAGTGTTCTAGCACGGAATCTCTTCCTCAGACTTCTATGGAGATTCTGAAAGCAGTATCAATCAAGAGCATTTGTGGTCCATGAAGTATCTTGATTTTAACCTTAAAATGCGCATTTTTCTATATACCACAAATAAATACAGTCATTCTTTATCTGTTCCTCTCCTTTTTACTCATTTCACTCAGCATGATACTCACCATGTCCATCCAATTACAGGCAAATTTCACGAAGGCAGGGGGTGGGGTGGGGATTGATGAGAGGGAACCTGGGGACATGTGCTGGAAATGTACAATGGTGGAGGGAAAGGTGTTGGAATACTGTATGGCTGAAATCCAATCATGACAGCTTTGTAAGTGTCTACTTCAGTGATTCAATAAAAAAGAAAAAGAAGTGCATTTTTCATATACTCAGCAAGTATTTATTATCACTACAATGTGCCAGTTACTGTTTTAGGCACTGAGTATATATGGCAAGAATACATGGAGAGTACATAGGCACACCTAAAGTCTGCATTATCGTGGGAGTTGGGATGAGTCTGGAGAACTCAATAATGTCAACAAATGATAAATGTTTTCCCTTACCAGAGGTTTATCATCATTATTACTATATTTATAATGTTTATGATCTATATCTATAACTAGCAATAATTTGGCACTTATTACTCTACAATGTCTGGACTAGAATTCTTTGTTCTCAAGTGGAATTAAAGAAGGGAGGGGGAAATAAAGCTTGTATATATTTCTTAAGGTTTTTCACAATAATCACAGGGTGAGAGAAGGACGTGTGTGGGAAAAATATGCTGAACTATTACAAACTAGAGGAAAATGGGAATAATTCCTTTAAGGATAATGTGGTCCTGTGTTAGGCAGGAATCACCAAGATTTGCAATCAGTCAGGTAGTTTTTAGACACCGTTGAAAATAATCTACAAGATGAGGTAATCTATATTAGCTATTTAAAACAGTCATGAACATTTATTTATCCTCCCTTTTTCTTTTTCTTCCTTGTTTCCTTATTGTCTCCCTTGATATTCGTGATTGCTAGTCAGTATACTATGCATTAGTGATGAAAAGATGAGTACGGCAAAGTCCAGGTTCTCTTGAAATTTATATTCTAGTTCCGTGTTCCCAATGCAACAATTAATTATAGTTATAAGCAATAATTTCAACTACTTTAATCATCTATGTAGCCCAAACCAACTTATTGGAATTTATGTCAGTCAGGGTTTAGGAAAGTTGTGGATCTACAAAAATACTTAATGTACCAGTAGCTAATCTTGTAGTGGCTGGATGGTGAAAGAGGTGACAGGTCTGAGGAAGTGGTTAGAGTGATCAGGACAGTTAGGTGGATAAGAACACTTGTAGGGTTGGGGAATTAGGTCAAGAGAATTAGTATTTCATAAATATAGAAAAATACCATTTTAACAATGGTTACCATTTAGTAATTATACCATTTAATAATTTAATAATGACTATTAATAAATACCATCTAAAGCTCTATCTCTATACAATGTTTTGGAGAATCAAGCCATATTTGTGAGATTATGTGAGTGAGGGAAGCTTTTCTGAGTGAACATGAGCTTAGTTTTGAAGAAGATAATGGGTATTAACTAGTGAAAAGGAAGAACGTTTATACCTGAGAAATAACCTCGGTCTTCCAGTGGCTCAGTCTTGAGCGAAGGAGCAGCTTGCCATGGTGCCGTACAATGGTTTTATGGTGTTGATGGTTAAGTCAAATACAGAATGTATTAAGAGAAAACAATCTAACTGGAAGGCTGGGAAATGAGGATATATTTTAATAGAATGGGAGGTGAATTTGAAAGAATAGGCTGTACAGAAAGCATGTCAAAATAGCTAGATGTAGTGTTAACTGGAAAGAAAGAAGTTTATATACTGGGATTTAAGTTTTGATATAACAAAGAAAGGGATCAAGGGCTTTGGAACCCTTTTCAGGAGATAGCATGACAATAGTAACACATATGGGAAAAATATCTTGCTGCCAATATGGAAACTAAAATAGGGTAAACCCAGGTTAAGAGCACTTCAGTATTCTGGGAAGAGTTGATTATTAGTGCATGGACCAGGACAGTTACTGTGAATAAAATAAAGTTCTCGATGGATGAGAGGAATAGAACAGGGATTAAGAAACTTGCCTTACATGTGGCAAGGACACCAGTTAAATCCCTGGAACTTCATGTGGTCTTCCAAGGGATGGCAGAAGTGACCCTTGAACTAAGAGCCAGGAGTAGCCCCTGAGCACTGCCAGGTGTTGGCCATAAACCTAAAAGATAATAAAGAAAAACAACAGTTCTATCTGACTCTGGTAGGGACATATGAGGAACTGATAAAAAGAATCAATGACAAAAATAATACCTGATAAATACAATAAATAAATAAATTACATATAAAAGGATGATTTTTCAAGCAAAGAAAACATGTTTATAACCTAAAATAATTTAAATGCCAAATTTAACAATGCAATAAGAGTATTTAATTTACAAAATTAAAGACTAATTTTTGAAGACAAAGCATTATGAATAGTTAGTTATTTGACACTAATAATAAGACTAATAATAAGTGTGGTATCTAAAAGATAAGGTACATTTATTTTTTGCATCACACTTGGCAATGCACAGGGATTACTCCAGCTCTGCACTCAGTAATTACTCCTGGTGGTGCTCAGGGGACCATATGGGATTTTGGGAATCGAACCCAGGTCGGCCGCTTGCAAGGCAAACTCCCTACTCGCTGTACTACCACTCCAGCCCCAGTAAGGTACATTTTTATTCACTAATGCTAAGATAGAAATCATAAGTGGTATGAAATGATTGGATGTCATATGAAATATGCTAGATTTCATTGTTCAGGTGTTTATTTAATTTCCATATTAAAGTTTTTTTTTATGTTTTGAAGGTGGGAAGAAGTGCTGAATTTTTCACTGAGTTAATTTTAGTTGACTCCTAAGATAACAGGAAAGCTTTTGGAGCCTAATTAAACCATGTATTTTCTCTAATTAATTTAGCAACAGGCTGCAAGGAAACAAAAGCAGCAAACAGACCTTTTCTATGTGCAGCAGTCAGGCATTTCATGGTGGTTTTAGCACAGGTTTGGAGCACAAAAGTAAGGAAGCTGAGATGCAAAGCTATCATCTTCAAACAGTAGCCACAGCAACAAATCACAGGGCATTCTTATTCCTGCATAATTTATAAAAGAGCATTTATCATGCATGATTTTATTTATGTCCAAACAGAGAACAAATTATCACCACTAACATCATTTTAACTCATAGGGGATAGCAATACCTTTTAACAATTTCATAATTGAATATTAGCTTACAAAGACTGTAGACTTAATACTTTAAAAACAATGTATTGGAGAAGAATATTAGAGGTTTAATATTGATTACTTTTTCCTCTTAGGATTTGTTCTCTTGAAAAAAGCTTCGTATTTTATGCAATAATTTTGTTTTTAAGCTAAGCAAACTGACACTTAAACATTTTTATTTTACTACACATCAAAATCTTTCATGTGAAGGAAATAGCAGATGTTTTTATATTACTACTGACTACTCAATTCAAACAACTACTTTCTTAAGACAGAATTTACAGGAAATTCCTCTTAAAAGACAAATCCCATAGGGCATATTTCTTCATTAGATAGAAACAACTTTAATACCTTGGCTATGTTTATCCATTTTCCTATTTTTTAGGAAAAAAAAGCTGAAATAGTTGAATTTTCTTTTCAGCCAAGATGAAAAAAAAAATTAGAAATAGTGTAGGTTTTGTTACATGTCTGTTGTTTAAAAAATACTTATTTGGGAATCTTGGGTTCAAACTTTACCGAAATTATACCTGGATATCAAAATCAAGTGCAACTTTTGGAGGTAACGTGTCCTAAATATGAACACCAAAAATTAAGATGCAGGAATTTTAGGAGAATAGTATAGTAAAACAAACCATCTGGTGAGTTTAGGCCAAAAACAAAGTCCCTACTTTTTGCTTGAACTATCTAGATGTCTGCTGTGTCCCTCTGCTTTATTTTGCCTATGGAAACCTGACCTAAACTAAACAACTATTCTATATCATTAAGTTGTCCAAGGAAGTAGAAAGTTTAAATATATGTCAGACAATCTGCAGCATCTGGTGCGATTCAATAATGATGGTCTCTTTCAGAGAGCTTAACTCTTAGAACAACTTTTAAACGTGAAGTTTAATTGATTGATATAAAGGAAACATTCTAGTCATGTGTTCTCCCTGTTTGTATTAATATTACCCAATTACATGTATTAATATTACCCAATACCTCTATGAAATATCCTACAATATCTCAAATTTTATTGCATCCAGATAATATAGTTTTGATGCAAATAATTAGCATTTTAATAGTCTCTATATTTTTTTCACAAACATTAATCAGTCCCAGTGGTTTCCAACTTAATAATTTTATATATTGTCTTCTAGCTGCTAAACATGAAAAGAGCTTACTTTTCTCTTTAAAGGACCAGATAAACTTAAATTAATAAAATCATTTAAAATAAGATTAGAAATGATTATGGCACTTGTCTATATCAATAGTTCCCTCTAAACTTCACTGCAAACTTCATCACACCAAATTTCACGTTAGAAGAGAACCTATTTAAATGTGTTATTTCTCACTAAATTGCATCAATTAACGGGAAACAAACTGCATAAAATATAACAAAGTTTCTAATATTTTGTTATGCATACACATCACATAATAAGAAATAAAATCACCAAGACTCTTACAGATATACTAAAGAACTTAAAATATACTTTACAGGAGATAATACATTTTCAAATATATAAATATTCCAGTTTATCATCTATTAAGTGAAGTATCATTTACCTGTATTTTCAGTAATTTTTAAAAATATAAGAATGACCAACTATGGCAATCTGTGTAGCAAAAGGGTAAACAGATATATTATTTTTTAAATAGTATCACAAATGTTCATGTCTTTTAATCCAGCAATTCCACACCTCAGTTTTCACTATAATTTACTAATTTCCAGTATGAAATAAAATATATAAGATGCCCACTGAAGTACTTTTTATAATATGCAAAAAAGTAAAACATATCCAAATACCTAAATATAGAACATTGACTAACTACATTATTAAAACACATTAACTGCTTAGAATATTTTGTTGCATTTCCATGTTTGAAGTAATACATAATAATATAAAGAAATTTCATGGTGTCATGTTAAGGGAAAAATAACAAGATACAAATCTACAAACGTTGTACGTCTACCATTCCAAAAAAAAAATCTCCATAAAGACAGAGCAATTATTAGTTACTGTTTTTCAGTATTTTCAAATTTTCTGACATGAAGCTCACTCTTTTAAAAATAATTTTTAAAATGTTTATTTCTGACGCCCTTTCAAATGCATCATCTTATCTTCAAAACATTTCTAGCTAAAGCAAAAGTCTGTGCTTGGAAATAATGAAATATAATATCTATCATAAAATCTCATTTTTATCCATTATAATTTGGGTTATAAGTATAAGGACTCATCTATATATGTGACTAGGCAGCTAATATGTAGGTTTTAGCTCTCGATCAGGGCTCTCAGATTCCATACTCGCTCTGCCTCCAGCCCCTTTTGAAACCACTGCTTCTCCTATCACCTGTAAATATGCTGTGATTATAAACCAGAGGCAGCAGAGAGAATGTGAATGATTTTTCCTAGTATTTCAGGGATGAACAAAACCAATTTCTTTCTTCCCCCTGGAAACATAAAAAAGAGTGCTCATGCAAATTTATGTATTCTGTTTCTAACAAAGTACAAAATTGTAGAGGGTGGGTTACGGTGTATTTTTATGGTGTATACGCTGCCTAGAAAACTTAAAGTTTTACAAATAATACCCTTCGCAGCATCTACCCCAGATAGGGCGATGAACCAACATTCCATTCTTTTAAATAGAAATACCATGTTCCCCAACACAGCACACACACCCCCAACAGCTGCCAGATTATCCTTCAAAATCAGGGCCATTCCTTAGCGAATTCCATGTAATATCGTCCCAACTCCACACCTAGAAAACTAAAATCCTACTAAAATACAAATGAGAGGAGGAAGGGATAAGAGGGGGTCAGTATGGAGAGTGGCAGAGGTACACACAGAGACAGAGACAGAGATAGAGATTAAAGAGATCTAAGGAGGTTGCAGTTAAACTCTCACTCCAGCTGTTTAGTTTTGTTTCCTGAAAGAGGGGAGGCAATCATTTTTGTTCTTCTGGTGTCAAGTTGTAGTACAAAGAAAATAGAAAAAACCCTATTTTCTTGACGCGATGGATGTGAAATATACTCTAGGATAATGTATTCGGTATTCTCCTTTGTTCTGATTCTGAGCTTTCCTTTTTCTAAAGTTTTTGGTCTCGCTCAGGGAAAGGGAAACTTAACGTTATTCAGAAATTCTCTCAAAGGCGCTTTTCAAAGCTTTCCATACGGAGAAATATCTGGACTGCTCAACCCTGGGGTATTTCAATAGGGAGGGAGTCACTGTTTCCAAAACGACTATATACTTTGCAGTCCCCAAGTTTATGCGTCCACAGCCGTCATTAATCAAAAAGACAGAAACACCATCTTTATCCAACCTGCGTTTCGTGGACTAGAAATGCGCTGTGGTTACGTTTCGGTTCATTTAGAAGGCATCACTGTCATTTGGATGCTCAGAGTCGCGGCTTTTGTCAAGGCTGGAGCAGGCTTGGAAGTCTGCGACTCAGTGGGCGGCAGATCTGAGGGCTCTGGCTCTTAACACGTTTTCAGCAGGGCACCGTGCTTCTCCCGACGCACTCGGCTTCTGGACTTAGCACGAGCAAGTAGATCTGACTGTGACAGCAACAGAGAACGTCCGTAAGGAACAGAGAGAAAAAGAGGGGAGTCTGGGCTCAGTCTCGGGTTACCGGGGCTCGAGAATTTCGCCCGAGTACATCACTACCCTGAAAACTACAGGCAGGCGAGCGGGTTGTTTACTGCCCCAGTGCGCGACCCCAGGCTGCAGAGCTCGCTCCGGGTCCCAAGCCACGCCCCCCTCGGCCCCTCCTTCCCCTCCAGCCCCCTCCCCAACCAATTAACTTGGGTCCGCCTTCCTGTCAGACCCGCCCACTGGCTTGTCTCAACCAATGAAAACGGCGCCACAGTTTCACCTGGCTCCCCCATCCCAAATAAACAAACCCGCCCGCCAGCCACAGCGCCGGCCCGCCCGCCCCCCCCCAGCCCCCCAATAGCGCGGGAGTCGCGCTTGGCCCCTCCCTTCCCCTCTTGCCTGGGGAGTCTGTGGAAACCCCCTGCCGGAGCCGACTGCGGCTCAGAACCCTTCTCGGCCCCATTCTCGGCCGCGCTGGCTCTTTCACCCCCTCGTGCCCTCGGGGCCGACCCCGCGGGAAGGACTGGGCCGCACAGCACTGCCCGCTCCCGTCCGCGCGGGGAGGAGTCGCGGCCGCGCGCCGCCCCGCCCCCGCACACCTCGGCCCGCCGCTCCCCGCGCCCCTCCGCCGCGCCGGTAGCCCGAGCTGCTGTGGCCGCCGCGTGAGGCGGCGGTCACGTGTTGTTTTGCCCGCGGCTCCAGGAGTGCGGTGGGCGGGGGCGCAGGCCGCGACTGGTGGGGGGGGGGGGTGGGCGCCGCGGCGGGCGGGACCGCGCTGGACGGCCTCGTCCCCGCCCACTCGTCCCCGCCCTCTCGTCCCCGCGCCCCCTCCCCTCGCTCACCTTAAAACCGTCGTGCAGCACCATGGCGAGCCGCTCCTCCGCTCGAGACCGAGCGACCGGGAGACCGAGGGCGGCAGCGGCAGCGACAGCGACTGCGGCGGCTCGCGCTGCGGTGGCGACCACCCCGCTTCTACCCTCGGCCCCTCCGACCGCACTCATTGGGACCGGGTCGTCTTGTCCGGGAGCCATGTGGCGCTCCGCGGCCGCTGGCTCTCGGTCCGACTCCGAGTCCGAGGAGGAAGACCTCCCCGTCGGGGACGAAGTCTGCAAGCGTGGCTACCTGAGGAAGAAGCGCGGGCATCGGCGCTACTTCGTGCTCAGACTCGAGACGGCCGGAGCCCCGGCGCGGCTCGAATACTATGAAAACGCCAGGAAGTTCCGCGACAGTGTCCGCGCGGCGGCGGCTGCAGCCGCGGCGACCGCTTCGGGCGCCGCCGAGGTTCCGGATCTCATCCCGCCGCGGCGCGTGATCACCTTGCACCAGTGCTTCTCGGTGAGCCAGAGAGCCGATGCCCGCTACCGGTACCTCATCGCCCTCTTCACCCAGGATGAGTACTTCGCCCTGGTCGCCGAGAACGAGTCAGAACAGGGGAGCTGGTACTTGCTGCTCAGCCGCCTCATCCTCGAGAGTAAGCGCCGCCGCCGCGGCACGCCCAGCGCCCGACCGGTGGCAGAAGGGGACGACGAGAGGGCGGTCGCAACGGTGGCCGAGCCACCCTTCTACAGAGATGTGTGGCAGGTAGTGGTCAAACCCAGGGGCCTGGGGCACCGCAAAGAGCTGAGCGGCGTGTTCCGGCTGTGCCTGACCGACGAGGAGGTCGTGTTCGTGAGGCTGAATGCCGAGGTGGCCAGCGTGGTCGTCCAGCTCCTGAGCATCCGTCGCTGTGGGCACACGGAGCAGTATTTCTTCTTAGAAGTCGGCAGGTCCACCGTCATCGGTCCGGGGGAGCTCTGGATGCAGGTCGATGACCGCGTAGTAGCTCGAAACATGCACGAGCTGTTTCTTTTAAAGATGAGAGCCCTGTGCGCAGAGGAATACAGAGCCCGCTGCCGCGGCTACACCTTCACCATCGGCGCCCACCTGTTAACTCTGCTGTCCACTAGGAGGCAGCTAGACAAGCGGCCCGGGGAGCCGGGCGGCTGGTTCCGTAGGTCCCGCTTTGAGCAGTTTTACCACCTCAGGGCCATCAGGGACCGGGAAGACGACGAAAGCCTACTCACCCGCCGCAATCAATCACCCAATGTTGCTGTGCCCCAGGCCAGGCGAGGACGGCCACAACTGCCCCACCTGCCCAGAGCCCGCAGGGCGAGAAGAGCTGCTTCCTTGCCCGCCAGCTGCTACCGCCGCTTTACGCTGAGTCCTGCGGGTGCAGTGCAACCTGCTGAAGCTCCCAGTGATGGAGCTCGCCCGGCTTCTAACAGATCAGGTTCCAGCCCTGGTAACTCTGGGGAAGAAGGCGAGCCTCAGGGCAAAGAGGAGCTGGAAAGCAATGAAGGCGACTATATGCCCATGAGAAAATGGGGCTCAGGAAATGGCCGAGGATCCGGAGACGGCCAGGGCCCCTGTGGACAGAGTCCAGGAGGAAATCAGTGCTCTGGAGGAGGAAAGGGCTCCGGAGGTGGCCAGGGCTCAAGTGGCAGCCAGGGTGCAAGTGGCAGCCAGGGCTCTAGTGGCCAGAGTTCAGGAGGCCAGGGTGCAGGAGGAAACCAGTGTTCAGGACGTGGTCAGGGCACAGCAGGTGGCCATGGCTCAGGCGGTGGACAGGGAGCTGGAGGTGGCCGTGACTCAGGGAGTGGCCAGGGGCCCCGCGATGGTCCTGGGTCTTGCAGTGGTAAAATCTCTGGTGGGGAAAAAGGTTCTGGAAGTGGGAAGGTATCTGGTGGCAGTGGTGATCAGGGGAAATCTCTGAAGAAAAGATCCTACTTTGGCAAATTAACCCAAAGCAAGCAACATCGAATTCCGCTGCCACCCCCACCCCCGCCCCCACCCACACCAGCAGGTGGAGCAAAGGGAAGGGCTGGAGGAAGGTTCCGACTTTATTTTTGTGCTGACCGAAGTGCCACAAAAGAACGTAAAGAAGTCAAAGAAGTTAAAGAGAAAGGGCTCCCAGAAGGTGGAGCTCGGGGTCTTCACAGAGCCAGAGCTTTTGATGAAGAGGAGGATGACCCCTATGTGCCAATGAGACCTGGGGTGGCTTTCCCTCTTGCCAGCTCCAGTGACTATATGCCAATGGCCCCTCGACACCCTGCTGCCTCAAAATCACGCCACTCTCGATCCCCTTTTGAAGATTCAAGAGGGTACATGATGATGTTTCCCAGAGTGAGCCCACCAGCTGCACCAAGTCCTCCCAAAGCACCCGGGCCTGATAAGAAAGATGAGTCAAAGGACAATGACAGTGACAGTGACTATATGTTTATGGCTCCTGGAGCTGGTGCAATTCCCAAAAACCCTCCAAGTCCTCAGGGCGGTTCTTCCTCCAAAAGTTGGAGCTCCTACTTCTCTCTGCCAACTCCTTCTCAGACCTCCCCATTAGGACAGATGGACCACAGTGAGTATGTCCCAATGTTAACCAGAAAATTCCTGGGGATGGGTCTGGACAAAGAAGGCTCACCTGAATGGGGCAGCCCCAAAGATACAGTCTCAAAGCCTTCAGTTGAGGGGTCCTTCTCCGAGCCTGGAGATGGGGGATCATTTTCACAGTCTTTGGTTGATATTCCCTTCCAGGGCAAAGCTAACAAACCTGACCAGCTTGCTTTTATTAAGAAGGGAAATACAATTGAGCCCAGTTCGCAAAAGCCCACACATGATCAGAGAGAAAATGACAGTGCTTCTGTCTACGTCAACATTGACTTCACTGAAAGAGCTAGCCATTCGTCAGTTCCCTTTGGTCAAGGACAGGCAGATACTCGGGGCATCCTTGCTGACCCCAGAGAATACTCCTTTTCTCATTACATAAATATTCAGTTGAGAGTGCCATTTCTGAGCCAAGAAAATCTCTCAGACCTTTTAAGGGCCATTCCGGGTGCCAACCTCTTCTCTCTGGACTTTGCAAGGTGGCCACTTCGCCCCAGTGCTACAGGTGGCATCGTTAGTGTAGGAGAGGGTGAATACATTGAAGTGAGGTTTAGCCCGGCAATGGCATCTTCGGCACCTTTTGCTGACAGTGCCTTTCGCTACGATGCTGAAACAGGTCGAATCTACGTGGTCGATCCATTTTCCGAGTGCTGTATGGACATCTCTCTCTCCCCGAGCCGGTGCTCAGAGCCACCACCTGTAGCTCGGCTGAGGCAGGAGGAAGAGCAAGAGAGAAGAAGCGCACCAAGTCGCTCGCAAAGTTCTGCCTCCGCTAGAGCCGCCGCTTCGGCTTTCCCAGCGGACAGCCTGGAGGGAAACCCCTCGGCCTCTGCTGCTGCGCCGACTTTAGCCATGGGCCCTGCACTAGCTGCCGCCTCTGCGCTAGCCGCCGCCCCAGCAGTCGGCTCTGCAGCTGCGGGCTTTGGGGTAGACTCCGCCCCCGCCCGCTGGTTCCAACTTGTTGCTAACGGTGCAGGTGCAGAAGCTGAGAGAGGGGCCCAAGAAATTGCTGGTGGTCCGAACCGAAGGGCCCCAAATCCATTTGAAGCCCTTGCTGGAGGTGAGAATGGGGCCCGCGGGGCGGCTGCCGCAGCTGCTGCTCCCCCCGTACCGCCTCCCCGCCGCCGGGTGCCGAGACCCCCGGAGCGAGATGATTCTGACGACGACGACAGTACCTACGTGAGAATGGACTTTTCCAGGGCTGACAACGAGGAGTCTGACGCACCTTAAAGAGGTTGGTGATTTTAGAATTAATTTATATCCAGGTAGTAGTTATGTCTTAGTGAATTTGTGCTTAGTTCTGTTTACATTGGGCTAATCATTTATTAACTGGTGCTTGTATGGCATGGGGGAGTACAATACACTTCAGTTGTTTGTACAATGCTTTGTGATCTTTCCAAAACTTACAGTTTTAATCGAATCATAAGTGTATTTCTCTGGAAATGATGGATTATGATTTGGTGCTACTTTTAGGACTCAGGGATTAAAACTAGGGAATCAGTAGCAAGAGCATGCTTTTGAATAATGTCTTTTCTTAACACTGAATGATTTTTGTAAACAACCTATCCAAAATCAAATCCCATCAGCTCGTTTTCAAGTGAACCAGTGGAAGTTGCTTTTCTACAAATGGTCCCATTTACTTGCCCGAATTAAGCAGTAAATAAACCATCTATTAACATTTGGAGGCATAGGGGGGAATGTTTTGTCCTCTGAAAGTTACTGTTTAAGAAGCAGTCATTGTTATGCTAGTTTGCCTTGTTTTACCCAGAAGGTTGAATCGCAGTTGTTAGCAGGAATGCCTAGAAGGAACAACACATAAATAATCCGAAAGAATTTGTAATTTTAAAAAAGAGATATTTTGGTTTTGGAATGTGTTTTTTTGTGCGTGTATGTTGATGTGTTTTGTTTCTACACAGGATAAATTGCCAGAAACCTTGAGTGTGGCTTTCCTCTGTCACTAGTAGTGACAGGCAAGTCACCTTCGCAGTACCTCATTTTCTTCATGTAACTCCCCCCAAAGAGGGTATGGTGACAACTCGATAATGGGTATGGATATTGTTTGAAAAGTTTAAAAAGCATTTAAAATATCTAATTGGAAATCCAGTAAAGCAAGATAATAAGGCTTGAGGAAGACCTGACCCTCAGGGGCAGCCTACCGTGGAACAGTAGAAGTTTTTTTTTTTGTTTTTTTTTAAAGGATTACTTTTCCAAAAGAAGAAATTAGGAAGAGTAAGAGATGTCAGACTTAGAAATCTATGAGTAAATCTACTGTATATATTGTGTAATGTTGTAAATGACTGGAGACATTCTCAAGAAATGATGTTGGAAGCTGATGTCTAAATAATCTCAACTGCCTTCTCTCTTTTAAGTAGAATGTGCTTCTTTCACAGTGAAGGGAATGGACGGATCCGAGCAGTTTTCATTCCAGTAGTCAGTTTAGTGAAGATTTTTGCTTTGCTTGCTTTGTGGAATGCTTTTGTGATTGGATCTCTGCCCACTGTGCTTGATCAGGCAGAACAAGTCGGGGACTGATCACAACAGTCACGTAACAAGCTCCCTATTTATTGCAGGTGTGGAACCCCATCTCTTTTCTCCCCCCTGCTATAGAAAACTTGCCATGAAAAAACCTCACATTTACAGCCCAGACACATTAGAGAGTGATCATTAAAACGACAAAAGGCTTGCCAAAAGATTCAATTCAGATCTCCTTTAAACAGATTCCTCTCAACACCAGCACACACACACACACACTCACACACACACACAACCCCACACACACTCACAACTACTACCAGAAAGAAGCATGCATTTGAAACATGCTATTCTCTTTCTAAGAATTTTATTCATAGCCAGCTTTTCAGAAAGAGCTTGAATTTATTCTATACAGTACACCTGAAAAATTTTCTCTGACTATTGTTTGAGCCTAACTGCTTAAGTTGTCTTTCATAATATTCAAGTAGGGAAAATCCATAACTATGTGGTCTAAAGGACACATTTTTGTAAACATTTGTCTATTCTTTCTAATGTAATTTTAGGCAAGCTTTAAATTTAGTGAACTGTCTTTGCTGACTTCCCAAAAATTTCTGGATACAGTTATCATTTCAGCATAAAATGTTCATTTATAAATTGCATCAAATGACTTTAAAGTTATTTTGAAATTTTTGTATTCTCTAATGAGAAATTTCTTAACTTTATTTCATGACTTCAACAAGAAAGCTGTATATCATAGGGAGGTATATGCTTAGATTGAAACAGAATGAATATGAAAGCATCTTAGAACTTTTATGCACTTTCAAATACAGAATATTTTTATTTTATCACTAGATTGACAGTGAAATAAAATTTCAACGGAGTAATGACTTCATTTCTTCTAAAATAATTGGTCCTGAGGGTGATAGTTACATAATTTGCTGGGATATATAGAAGGAATAATGTATACAAAGAACTTAATACAGGAAATTAGTTTTATTACTATTTAATGTTAATTGATGTGTTTAAATGTTTGTGAAGTGTGAAGAACAGGCTAGATAATTCTGTTCATTATTGGTCCACAAAACTAAAGAAAAAATTTCATCTGTTTCTGATCTCCACTATTGGATTTAACAACTGTTTAAGATCACATTGGAATAAAAATGCTTTGACAAATGAAAAAAGACAGTCTTTATTAGTAGTTATATATTTCAAATGGTAATTTTAAGAAAAGTGTCACTTAGTTTCCATAAGATATATGAAATAGTTATGCAACTGTTAATTGTTACTAATATAACATTTAGAATTGTGAAGCCAAACGAAAATTTTCTATCCTCAAATCCCAGTTTTCATTTAGCTTTTACTTCTATTTCAAATTGTTTTCATGATCATTCACAGTTGGTAACATTATATTTGGAATATGTTTATAACTTAAATGAAATACTCTGAGTCCCTAATATAATGAGACAGCTTTTTAATGTAACAAAATTAATAATCTATAGCTAAAATCACACTGCATATAAGTTACTTTAAAATCTATTTGCTCAAGATCACTAAAAAAGTACCCAGAAATATAACTTGGACTTGAATGTCTTATAAATAATATTATTTATATGATTTATTTATATTATTTATATTCACACTTTATAGTGTGAAATCTTCATAATTTAAACATGAGTTATAAACATTTAGATTTCAGTAGGAGATTGTAATTTTTCGAATATGGTTTCTCCTAATTCTTGGCACATGTGTAGTTTTGTCAATTTACTACTGAAGCTGATATCAAACTCAATTAGAAAAGACTTAAAGTGAAAAGCTCACTTATATTTATCCATTCCATAGCTAGGAAGATGAAAGGGACAGCTATAGGAGTGTTGAAAGAATTGGTCAGCCCAATTAGTAATGCTAAAATAGCACTTTATATTAAAATATTGGTTCAAATATGAAGTAATTACCTTTTGAAATTTTAGAGACTTTTTAACATGATTGATTCTTTTCAGTATGCTGCTGTGAAATGGTCTTACTATAACTTATAGGTACTGAGAGCAAATTGTGCTGAAATTATAATAATTTATTAGAATGAAGTATTTATTATAATAAATATAGTACATCTTTATGGCAGGTATTTCCCAGTAACCACATACACAAATGGAAAGATTGCAGTAAAGGTATTTGACCTATAATAAAGAAATAGAGGAAGTAATTCAATTAAGGTTATCTAAAGTTGTTAGCAATTAGTAGTTGTTTGCCTTCATTCTATTTTTGAGTTATGTTTCCAGGGTAAACATTTTGACCACTGCAAAACATCTTCTTTAAACAAAGACTAAGACTTTACATGTAGCAAAGCAGAATTTCACATATACATAAAATCTCAAACAAGATCTCATACTTTTTTTTTTACCTCTCCCTAACTAACATACATGAAACAAAATACTCCATAGTCATTGGGAAAAATTGTTTTGGTTTGGAATAAACCCTTGACTTTTGAATGAGACCCAATTTTTTGTGTTAAAATAGGTCAGAATATCCAGTATAGGGAAAATCAAAGAATATTATGTATTGTGAATAAAGGGCTTGTTTGTTTTTAAATTGTCAATCTGTTGATTTAAGGAATGCTTTACAATTGCATACTAACTATAATTTACAAAGCACATTCATCTTCATTATTTTACTGGGGAACAGTAGGTACTGGATCTGAAGGCTGTATTAAGAATTTTCACGTGGTCAAAAAGGTAAGTGGCAAAGCTTAAAATCATCTTGATTTCAAGTTTAGTGATCTAGGTGACATACCACATGGCCCTTTAATGAGATGTTGAATCTCTTGCTTTTATCAGATGTTCAAACTTACTCTATTGGTGTAAAATTATTCTTCAGGCAATGACTGAGGAAAATTGCAAAAGTTCCTGAATTTGATAGTAGCAAAATAGTAGGTAATTAACTGAGAGCATAACTGGGAATCAACTTGAGTGATTTTCATTACATTGAATTCTTCGTCAGAGTGTCAGAGCTCTTAAAATATAAAAAGAAAATTACTTATAACTGGAATTGAATGTCTTAAATATGACCTGAGGATAGTCGTTCATGTTTTCATGAACACAAATGTCTGTGCACATTGAAAGAGATAAAGGTGTAGTTAGTAAACTTCCACTGATGGTCATTATGAGATAATTTGTTCTGAATTTTAATTAAATAAGGAGACTTGGAATATACCTCTCTTATAAATTAGATGTGTTTGGTTTTCATAATAACCCTCTGACATTTTCCAGTTACAGCATTATCTTACCTTCTTTCATATGCATAACACCTGATATTTTAATCTAAACCATCACAGTGGTCAAATCAGGATAAAATGAAACAGGTGAAAAACAAAGTGCTGTAGAATTGGGTGTCCTTATTCAGTGTCAGAATTAAACCTGCTTTTGTTAGTCAGAAAATCACATTTTATTTATCTTTTTTAAAAGAAAAGTAGATTTTTAAATGCCTTGAAACTCAAATCCTCACCTTGGAATATAAAAAATCCTGTTTTGAAATTAAATTTTGTTTGGCACCTTTGTTTTAAAAACTTTAAGACTCTGTAAAAATAGCCTAGACCTGTCATTGGCTGTTGTTGGAAAATGGCTTTTGTAAAGTGATTAATTAAAGCCTGTTTTGTCTGAGAAGTGCCGCCTGGCTTGTCCGTGGTAAGGACCTTTTAGTGGAACACAATGTTTTTAACACAATGAGAAATGAGAGATTGAAATACCATCTTTTATAATAATAAAAAGA